ATAATCTCATGTTCTCCAAGAGATATCAAACCTCTTTACAAAGCAGGCATCTTTCCTAACAAGAGTGTGATGCAGTGACTTTGCTAACAAAAATACAAGATCAAGGTAAGGAATTATATGAACATGAGAGCACCAGTAGTAAATATATTGTGCTACACTTCGAAGTGAGATTTCTCTGGGACTTGTTTCTGACCTCCCAATTGCAAATTACATGATACGTGCTATTAATGAATCTATGAATATGTAATAACAAGAAAATGGAAAAATAAGTAATTTCATAAAACTCCAAAGCATTAAAAGAAGCCTTTAGAGTCTTAGAGCATCACCTCTGGACAAGAGAATCACAAAGTTCTGGTATCCTTCTTCAAACACCTGGAGTCCTTTAAATCCAAGTCTATCTCTTCATCATTTTGACTTAATCATATGGAAGGAAGGATTCCCTTAATTTTTTGTTCAAGATTAAAATGCCCACCTTTGAGGAATTATGGTGTGCTTTTGACCAGAAGAACATGAATAGGGTTAGCAAATTAGGTCACTTGCCATGGTGACAACTATCTGAGATAACCATGAATTAAGGGAGAATGTTTTGGAATCTACATGAACTTCATCATCTGAAGTTCTGTTGTGTGATAAAATTCCTGTACTTGGTTCAATTTTGGACAGTTTTGGGACATTTAAGCCTGACTCAGGCTGTGACCCTGTCGGTTGACAACAGCAGTATCAGTCAGATTTGGCCAGCCTGTCTAGGCATGGCAGTCACTGAGTCTGCAGTTTAGTCCTTCCACCACCAGCAGAGTTGGAGAGCTTCTTGTTCAGTTGACTTCTTGGGGTTACAAGTGGGGGACAGGGGGCTGTATTAGTTAATACACTCATTTTGGATGTTCACAGTGCATATTTCCTGATATCTATTATAATGATAAATGTAAAAATGTTGTCAGAAATACTTATGCTGAATCTTAATTTGAATATGTGCACCCTGACTGCAGCCTGCGATGTTTCTGTATTCAACAAATTGATTTTTAAGTGTGGTCAGTTAAAAACAGTTTTGTAATCCACAAGATAGTTCATTAAGAGCCTTGTGTAATATGGTACATGTCCATTATTTTCCTTTTCTAAGTAACTGTGTACCCTTACAATAACTTTATCAAATGAGCCACTTAAGAGTACGTTTTAAGGATGTTTTCAGTTTAATTATCACTGTTGAATGACATATCTCCATTAGGTTTGTGCATACATGGCAAAAAAAAAACTTAATCATTGACTGATTCATGTTTTATGTAGGTACTTTGAGTATTCAAGCTAATTGTATTCAGTTAGTTGTCCTTTTGAAAAGGCCAAGAGGCAAAATCCTTAAAACTTGCTTAGGAATCCCGAGGCAGAACTGCTTCATTTCCATGAAATGGAAATCCCGCTATCAAATGAGTTCCGCTATCAAATGAGGAAGTGAGATTTCATAAATAATAGCTTCCCAACTTGCAATTATGCTTGTTCTTTTATGCTTCTTACTCCTCTTACTCTTCCTGCTTCTTGAACGTATGTTTTCTTTAAAAGCCTCAGCTAGGTTATTAATGTGGACAGCAATCCAGCACTTCCCTTAGTTAGTAGACATGAAAAGGTATATTTTCTTTTGAGAGCTGTATTGTTCCGCAGCTGCGTGCATTTCACACCCATTGTGTGGTTCTTCACCAAGTAAAAACAGACCTCTTCTATCCCTGAGGACAAAGAACAAACTGTTGTTGAGGGGAGGAATATCTACAAAATCATAAGTCTTTCTCCTTCTCCTGTTTATTCTTGATGCCATTCAAGCCCATTTAGAGAATGACCAATTAACTCCAGACTCATGGCAGATTCTGATGGGCCAGATTTCTCCTATCTAAGATGACACAGCCAAATTTCCAAATAGTTTCTAGCTGAATGCAGTGTTTGGTTTTCCTTGCTCTTTGATTCATAGTTCCCAAACTGATATTCCAGTTATCAAACAAGTCAACATTTTCTCTAATTAATGCACTGATCACCAGCAGTAAAATTGTAAAATATAGGGAAAATGTGTACCAAATTCATTTCATTGCGCATCCAGTTCTTTATTATTGTGAGTAAAACTGTTTAAAGATATTTGTCCTTCAGTAATTAATCTGCTAGCTGTACATTGCACATCACTGCATACTGAAATATACAGGAAGCAGGAGTTTTACAAATTACTTTTCTATGGTAAAAACATGCTGCAAAAGTAATAATTCATAAAATAACTCTGATCAGTGAAGAAAACATACTTTTGACTATGATATGGTATCCACTAAATAAAAAAACAACACAAACTGGAGGGGGGGGTATTCAAAAATTAAATGTTAGATCTGAATTATTTAACCATAATAGAGTGTTGTAATTAACACCCATACTGTATGTACTTCATTGTATTTAATGTTTTATCAATTCTTGATGTGTGGAATTTAGAAGAACTAAAAGCAGTGACTCAATTACCCCCAAAAACTGCTTTTGTATTGATAAGTCATAAGTTTGAAAGTAAATTATGTTAATCATTTTATTTTGATATCCCATGCTGGTGTCTGAATTGCATAAAAATTCTATTTTGTGTTAAGTGGCAGGTCTGCAAAGAAACTGTATATTTAATCCTAATTATACATTGCTAGGATCAGGTACTGCATGGGCTTGTGTTCTTACATAAATAACGTATATACAAGAAGTGAGTTTAAAAAAAACACCATGCTACATTCAGACAAGTTCTAAAAGGTTAGGTTGTTATAGCGAAACTTTGCAACATCTTTTGTGATACTTCTGTTTACTTTCTCAGAAAACTTTCTCTGTTTTCACAGTCTTAGGTAGGAGTTTTGCCTCAGAAAGATCAGTGGACACAAGATATATGTGTATCATCTACACTTTGTAACGCTTGCGTTATCAACAGGAGTCAGTGAAATACTCTGCATGCTGGATGGTAGTTTGTTTCCTTTACTGATGCCCCTCTTAGCCTCATTAAAGGCATGAGATCCTGTAGTCTGGAAGTAGGGAAGAATCTGGTCTGTCCCAGATAGAACATGCAGTATCATTGATAGCGCTCGGCCACGTTTCTTACCCAATGAAAAACAACATTAAACTTAGATTATTTTTTTATCAGTCACAAATGAGTCAAGCAGGAGGAACAGAATGATTCTAAAAACAGAGAAATATTTACCACTCAAATATCTGAAGAAATTAGCAGTGATAAAAAGGCAATATCATAAAGGGAACGCAAAATGGCTTGGCTGGGCTCTGAAAAACACGTGAGTAGTCTTTAAATTTGCCTAGATGTTTTTCTAGATTTTTGCGCTCTGGCCTTTCTGGGGCAAAGAATAATGTAAATGCCAAAAAGAGTTGGACAAAAAGTAAGCTTTGTATCCTATCCATGAGAATCAGACGATGTGTGTCATGCTAGTTTTTACAGTCATAGTCTACAGTCTTTCACTGATTAAAATCAAATTTGACAGTAACACAATATAGAGGTTTAACTGACAGCACACACAGCACATTTGCTAGTCATAATGCCACAGTTTAATGACTGACGCATGTGGGAAGCTAATTCGGATTTTTTTTTCTTGAATGGGATAAATGAGCATCCAGTTAATACCAATCATGAATTCAAGCCATGTGTCAAAATTGGTGCTACATACCCTGTTCTTGTTTTGCATATTCTGCAAATTGAGCTGCAGGAAAAGAGCCAGTTTGTACATACATCCGGAGAGAAATTTCATCCTGCTTTCTGACACATCCACCAGTTGCAGCTGAATGTATCCAGCTTGCTGCTGTTGTGTCCACAAACTAATTACCCTTTCTCTGTTAAATAGCCTAAGAATTACAAATTGTATGCCTGTTTTGAGAAAAAGTACAGGTTGAACAAGCAGACATAGTATAAATAAAATATTTATATAAAAATAGTCTCTTACAAAATATACTCTCTTATCCTATGGTTGATTTTTCCAAAAGATGGAAATTTGTCTGGATTTTCTTATTTTTAGGCATATTCCAAACAGGATTTTGTTAATGCTTCTTTCTTTAATTGAAGAAGAAAAAAAAACTGGTAAAGATTTGTAACCCCTACCATTTGACTTTTGTTCCAGACAACTAGCAGCAAACAGGAAAAACAAAAAAACAAACAAACAAAAAAAACCAAAATCAACAGTGTGTGTGTATGTACATATATATAAAGATGCCAGCTTTTGTACTTAAACATCTAGTACTGTAGAACATATCCTGCAAGTCCAACTAGTAGAAATATCCTAGTTAAGAATAATATATACAGCTCCAGTTTTTCCTTGCCAATTCTACAAAATTATTCCACAAAGAAATCCAACTATCTACTTTAATTGCAGAATAGTTCCAAAAATGTTGGTAGAGTTCTTTTTAATTAAATAAATTAATATTAGTTTTATCTGAATAAATTGTTAAATATTGCTATTATTATGCCCAAGTGTCCCAAATCCCTGTGCTAAAATCTGCAGCACACACACACACAAAACAGACAGATAAAGCAGTGTCTACAGAAAACTTCAACAGTTCTACTCGCTGTAGCAAATGGTACGAAGTGGAAAGATGGGCAAGACCAGCAGAAGCTTTTCACAAGTGTAGAAGCCTAAATCTGTGTCATCCACACACTCACATGGGCATTTCACGATGGGGCACTGTCCATCCCATTCTGTGCAAAGCCCTTTTTTGAGGATTTCTCCCCTACCCCTCCCTGCTCCTTATACACTGAAGTTTTTGACCATCTTTTTTCCAAACCAAGAGTTAGTTGCTATGCTCAGAGATTCTCCTCTGACTGGTATCTCTTCACAAAGCAGTCAATGCTTCTTGCTTTAGAGGAGCAGATTAACTGAGATGATCTTTTCCTCTCTCTTCTGTGTGTCAGGTGGCTCGGGGTGGGGTTTGTTTGTTTTTGTTTCTTGGCTGACTTTCATAAGAGTCTGAAATGTGTATCCACATAAGCAATTAAACATGAGAAGAAAAGAGAGGGCTCCATTCATCAGCATTTCTTCTGGGAGAGGAGGTCTTTCCTACAGTCTTGTGTAGGTATGTTGAGTGCATGTGCAAATGTATTCATGGCCAGGGACGTGTCAGCCTACCCAGCCACATACTCACTTACAGGTATATACTTCTGTTCTTTCACTGCATGTGTTGCATTTAACATAGCAGCACCAATGAAATTTGCAGTTGCACTGCCACACTCTTGAGTACTGGTGTGTATTGTAACCTCGACCACAGCACATCAGATCACAGCCATTGGACTGCTGGGCTGTCTTGTTGCACATTCTTCCCTGCGTTCCCACACTGCCAGTGACAGGGTCTTCTTCACAATAATTGGGAGATTTTTCTATGTACACTAAATCTGTATCCATGGGTTTGCGATAGGAAAGTGGCTTCTTTATTTTGAGGAAGGTTGGACGCTTGTTACGACTTGCCCTCACTGGTTCAACTTGAACAGCTTCATTGTATTTGTCCTTAAGGATGTAGCCCAGCTCCCGGAATTTAGGCAGAGTTGTCCAGCATGTTTTAGTGGTACAGGATCCTGAGACCCCATGGCACTTGCACTCTAACTTCATGTTTTCTTCCAGAATCTGTATTTGGAAGAAGAGAGAGTGATGCATTAATACAAGCTAGAGTCTCTTCAAAATAACAGAGTTATTTGATGCATATTGAATGACAGTCATGGATGGGTTTGCTCTCCAGCATGAGTTGCCACCAGACACAAGCCAGGTTACCACCAAAGCTGTGGGTTTTGCTTGCCTGGTGACTCTGTTGTCCCAGGTGACAAATGCTCACCAGTGCCAGCTGAGTCCTGCCTGCAAAGCTGATTCCCCACTTGCACTTCGAGTTAAGCAAGGAGAATAACTTTGCCTAATTTCACAGCCCATGGGCCAAAGGTAAAATGGGACCCTCCTTAACCACAGCTTCTCTTCACTGTCATTTGCAATATGATCGTACAGTGCTTCAGATTTGTCTGTTGTTGCAATTTTTGGCATGTGGCAGTGAAATTAGGAACTGGCAGAAAATCACACCTTTACATGAAATGCCACGTGCAGGATGCTTTCAAAGTTCAACAATAGGTACTAGAACTTGATTTTTGTAAACAGACATCCAAAAATAAACTGCATTTCAGTTCTTGCACCTGAAAATGACAAGCTGGTGCAAGATGTGAACAAGCCGATGAACTCTGTCAATGCTTATCCTCCTGTTGGTCTCACATTAATCAACAGTGTAGAGCAGATGATCATTTCTTCATACAGGCATCATCTGTTCTAAGTATTGCAAGTTAATGCTCCAATCTGGAAATCTAAGTATTATTTTGATATACCATAGTCTTAAGTTCTTTGCGCTTTCTGGAGGATTTGAAGTGGTTTTTCTCCTCTCATGTGGATATTGGAGCATACAAAATGCCCCAGCTACTTTGCAAGAAAACTAGGTCTCTCTTAGACCATAAAGGGTAAGAGTAAAGATGAGGAATGGTTTCATGTTTTGTCATTAATTCTTTTTAAAAATTTTCTACCCCCTTAATACTGTAAAAGTGCCTTGAACACCTAAACATCAAGGCTTGCTCCACCCTGTCTCATGTTCTCTTCTTTGTTGGGGTCTCTCATGCCTATGCCTGAATTGTCACTACTTTCCTTTTGAAGATAACAAACTTCATCTTCCCTTCAACCTTCACATCCCTTGAAACTTTATCCTTGTACCTTCACCCTCTTGCTGTTTTTTTTTACCAACCCGGTCTTTGCCAAATAAAACTGGAGACCAGCTTAGTCCCTGCTGTCTGTCCTGAGCGCTATAACTGACCTCACTTAGCAAACACATTGGGTTAATGATAGAAAACATACCTAATTCCAACAATTTCCCACTGGTCTTTGCTTGAAAGAGAACATAATAGTTTTGATGATTAAATTCTGCCTAACCTGGCAGATACCAGCAGTGGAAAGCCCAGCCAAAGGCATTACCTGGGTTCAGGGAGTGGCCACATAATTTTTCCCCTGAGAATCCCCAGCTGATCTGTGCAGCACCAAACCTAGGCAGCCTAGAAGGCTGGACAGAGGTCAGTGATATGGAAATTTGACTTAACCCTTTTCTATAACCTGCTGCTTCAGTTTTGGGTGTTTGGAAAACTTACCATGCAGACACTGTCTGCCTTTCCACTGACTGCTGCTGAAAATGGCAGCCTGTATTGAAGGAGCCAAGTCCAGCTTGAAGGCTAGACACATGTACTGGGACTTCAAGTCTAAAATCTCAGCATAAACTGGGGGTGGCAAGGAGAAAGAGTACATCTTAAGTTGTGCAGCCAGCAGATCATAAGTAGTTCACTAACACTGGTGAACATAGCTCAGTCCTGTTCTTGGCAGCCTTAAAACAAGTAGTTTAAAGACTGCATGTAGTAGCTTATTATTCTCATACCTTTTGGTCCTGAGGCTCTTCCCGTGTCACCTAGGCACAGTAATTGCTATTGCCTAACCTTAGGATAGTTTGATGCTGCTTCTTTACTCGTTGTTCTTCCTCTGCCCCTTTTCAATGAAGACTGGGATTTCAAAGGCATTAAAATAGCTTTATTTTTATTTTAGTCTATGAGTGAAGTGTCAGCATGTGTGGTCTGAAGACTGGATTAAAACCCCTAGAAAGTATAGGTCCAAGATTTTGACAGATGTCAACTTTGCATATATTAGGTCTCATTTTGTGCTACTGTTTTTAAATTAGTTATTAATGACTGCCCTAAGACTCAGATGTGAGAAACTTTTATATTCAGATCTACATCTTAACTTGCAGTTCTGCTCAAGCTTTGGCTTACGTTTTGCATTATCTTGTTATCTTGAGTTTCTCTCTCAGCCACTGCATACTTCTTTTATTGCTCACTCATTCATAAGGTAGTACACTTAGAAGATAGATGAGGAGACGGAAAAGGAGTTATAGCACAGAAACCGGAAAAATAACATAAATTCTTTCAGCCTCATTTGTACCTTTTTAAAAGTTCTCTTTTTTTAATTTGAAACTAGCCAGGGATACATTTCTCAGCCCTAATTCAACCACTGCTCTTGTTCAAGTGGCTGGCCTTGTATCTTGGTACAATGTTCAAACTTGTAACAAAATATTTCTAACTTGCCTTCCGTCAGGATCCGCCAAATTGACTTGAAATATTAATACAAAATACATGATGGCTTAGTGTCATCTATCCAGGTAGAGCTTTTTTCCTGAACTGTAGTTAAATAGCTTAAATTGCCTTTTGGTTTATTTAATTAACATCCCATTTACAGCCAGCAATCTCTGAGAGAATGAGTAGTTCCAATGCAAAGAGCTGAGCAAGCGGCTGGAGCAGTTCAGCAACTGGGCAGCCTTGTGTCACGTGTTCGTCTCCTGCTCCAGGTGACATGATGCCAACCAGAACGAGCTTCTGCTTTTCTGGTCTCGGCTAAGGCTGGGCACGAGTGTTTAGGATAAAAAGGTCTGGTTTTGTCTGAACATGAGAAGTTTGAGAAATACTAGTTGAGCCCAAGTACTAGGGGTCCTTCTTAGATGACTTGGAGGGGGCAGAGGGATGAGATTTATGTCTTTTAAAACTGTGCCACGTTTATTGTTCTCATCTTTTTTCTAGATAGCACTTCCTAAGATTTACTGGCTAACCCTCCCTTTTCTCCTCACACTCATTGGGGGTGCATTTCCGACACACTGTGCTAAAATCACTCGAACACATCTGCCTAATTTGGGTCCACTGAATTCTGCAATTGAACTTCCCTTTCCAGTTCTGCCTTTTTTAACCCAGCCACTCTACCTTTCACTCACAAACCCTTTTGTTGGTTCTGTTCTTGTATATATATCCCGCTCGCTGGTGCTGTCTTTCAATGCGGTGTTTTGCAAATTCAGCCAGAGATGAATTGACTCCATAGAAAATAGGCTACATGTAATTTGAACTCCCTATCCTCAGCTAAAGCAAAAGCCTGCAATGGTGATTTGATAGCTCTATTGTACTGTGATATCAGGTGCTTGGACTATTTGTTTTGCATTAAAATATGTGGATGGTGATATTTTAATACTGTTACATTATTCTAGTACCCTCTGATAAATCAGTGCCTTTATAAATTCAAGACAAGAGTTGACAAGAGAAGGAAGAAAATAAAATAGGGGATTCTTTGGGTAGGGGTCCTTGGTCTTTCCCTTGGTTTCTGTGAGCCAAAAGAAGCACTTAAAAACTTGGTCTGTGTTAAAAACAGAAAGTGTTGTTCACCTTTCAAGATCAGGATTTGCTTCTTTGAAGGTATTAGCCAGCAGTTGACACTTGTTAGATTAGATTAAAACTTTATATATGTTATAGACTGACTTTTCCTAAAGTGCAAGAGCCTGAAGGGCACAAAATTTAAATCCTAGATCCTCTGTTTCTTACCAAATGACCATATCAAGCTCCGTCAGCCATGGAAAGTAAATCTGTATGCACCAGTGAATGCTCTGAACTGGATTAAATGCGAACAAAGAGCTGGAGTTCTTTTAGCTTTGTCCACTTTTTCTTTGAGGTCCTACAGTAAACTGTCAGTACTTGTTTTTTTCTCTCTCTCTCCCCTTTGCCATTAGCCCCTGGGAAATAGTTTGTGTGAAGAGAACTTGCGCTGGCTCTCTCTATTGATGTTATCTTCAGATATAGTACCTTTGGGTACTGCCATTAGGAACTTAACATGTTTTTTCTTAGCCTTTAGTTTTGCAGAGAATGCGTAGGGTGTGTCATGTGAGGGTGGCAAGCTGTAGCTCTGGAGAACCCTGCAGCCTGGGAGCTGCATGGGCCGGTACCAGCACTGTGATCCTGCAGTTGGCAGCAATGAGCAGGGGTGTCTGGTAATGGTACCCTAGCTGGGTGCTGGCTGAGCCAACGGTTCTGGTTTCCAGTGAAACCAGTGGAAAGTGCTGACTACTGCGACTGGGCGCTGGAGTGGCATTTGCTTATAAGTGCTGTCACTGCCAACCTGCAGCCATGTTGGAGGTGTGCCCCCTGGGTGGTGGGATGTGTGGTGCGTCGGAGGTTGTGCCCTCTGGGTGGTGGGGTGGGTGCTCAGGTCTGGGCAAATTGAAAGGTTGTTATGTGGCTGGTGTGCTCAGAAACACTGATCACCCACGTGCAGTGGGTTTTCTCAGCTCAGTGTCTCTGTTACCCATGTTAGTCAGTGGTCTGTACCTCCCTGGGTTTCCAGCATCTAAAGTCAGCTGACTTTCCAAACACATCTGCTAGGGCAGCCTGGGACCCCACATGCCCACTCATGTGGGATCAGGTACTGCACAGCCCTGGGTTCGGTCACCAGAATGCTAAAGCATGAAATATATGTGCACCTCCAGTGCATTCTCCTTCACCAACAGGATTTCCCATAGAAACTAAATCCTGCCTCACAGTCAATACACTACCTATACCGTAGTGCCTGAGGCCAGGGACCCTTTACTGCTTTATCAGAAATAACACAGACTCCAGTCTACATGTGAGGCTGATGTAATTAGTGAGACAACAGACACTGATTCCTATCCCACCAAGGCCATAATCTTTCCTAATTTTGTCTGACATCAGATCGTCTGGGTCAGGAAACACCCATGTCCTACAAGTGCCTGC